GACCCTAATTCCAGACACCCTTGTAACCCTAACCCTAACCCTAACCCTAACCCTAACCCTAACCCAATTCAATTCCAGAAAGTCTCATGCCATAGCCTCATGTTGGTCACTGTAACACAGAACAAACACTTTTCTCAAGGTTGACCAAGTTAGGCACTCTAACCAGACCATCTTGAGGTTAGATGGACCTCACGCCGTCAAATCTCTAGGGTTTTGGGCGCTGCTTCACCAGCTGGCTTCCCTCAGCCCTCTCTTAATGCCTATAACACAAACTCCAAAAACCCTATTGGGCCACCCCTTGTAACCCTAACCCTAACCCTAACCCTAACCCTAGGTGTGAAGGGAGTCTGAGGGATCATTTTGGGCTGCGATGAATGCCGATTCCCAAAGCAATGGCAAGAGGCCTTAGCTTGGCCGTTGAGGAGCCACGAGGCGCTGAGAGATGATGTTGCTTTAAAGTATGGTCTGGGTAGTCAGATCACCAAACAGTCGTTGACTCGACTTGTCACGTGCTGCGCGCGCGCACGCCTGCATATAAACACACCCCTGCATGTAGATAGTCTCATTGTCAACACAACCATCATCGAGTATGTCTCCACGCGTGATAGGTTATGAGCTTCCCCCCAATGGATTCGTAGTCCATCTGGCATTTTGCAGCGCAATGCTGAGCAAGCCCCGCAAGGCAAATTAGCAGCAATCTTTTTTAGTGCGCACGCAGCAGCACACGAGTCCAACGTGCTCAAAGCCTTTTTTGTAGAGGGACATTGCGGTCAGAGCCTTGCACACTCCCAACAAGCCGACATGGTTGCGATAGGTCGACAACACACCAGAGATGTGATGGTTGCCTGGGGGGCAGCTAGAGCAGCTCATCAAGATGACCAGGAGATTTGTGCGCAGCTTCTTTTGGAACAAGTGGCCAACAAGAGCGCCACGTTGGAGGAGGTGCGCATTCAGTGGCATGATGATCGTGCAGAGTTGCTCGCCAAACGTGCCAGAGGAAAGGGGTACAAGCGACGAATTGCGGAGCTGGAGGCGCAAGTAGCCCAGAATGCTATGCTGGATGAGGTGCGCGTACAAGATGGCTGTGACGGTGACGAGCTGCTTGTCGAGGGGGAGGAGTCCGAGCAGCACATTGAGGCGCAAGAAGCGCAAGCTGCCGATGCGTCAGTTCAGCTGCAAAATGAATGGCAAAAGGAGCTGCTCGCCGCACAGACCAAGAAAAAGGAATTCCAGCAGCGCATCAAGGCGCTAGAAGCGCAAGTTGCTTGCCCATCAGAGAACGCACCTAGTCAGAGGGAGGCTGATCTTCAGCGTCAGCTCAGAGAGGAGCGGACAAGGTGTGAAGAACTTGAAGAAGCGCTCGATGACTTGTTCCTGGAGAAACTAGATCAAGAAGCTGATGAGCTGGATGAGGAGACCTACCCAGCCGCTCGTTGCTTCTTCCCAGAGCTGGTGGCCAACACTCCTGCCGATAAGCTGGTCGAGAAGATGTACGACTTGGAGAATTCTTGGTCTTGGCACCAAAGTGTCCCCAGCAGCATCTTGCAGGGCTCGAGGGTGCAGCAACAGCACTTTATACGTTGGGCTGGCAAGCCAATAGCTAAGTGGAGCAACAATTTTTGCGCGGGAATAGATCATCTGATCGCTCGACAAAAAGTGGCGCTAGGCCATTCCCTCACATTGGAAGGCGCGAGGAAGAGCAAAGGCGGCAGGAGGGCAGGGCAATGAATCTGCAAAGTGAGCCCAAGTAGAATGCCATGCACGACTTCATCCTGAGTGCAAAGGCTGCGTGCAAAGGCTGCGTGCAAGCTTTGTGCACGAGGGTTGGGTGGCGTGCGTGCGTGCGTGCGTGCGCGCGTGCAATTGAGCTGTGTTGTGGTGGCCGTGGTTTGAGCACGTGAGCACGTAGCTCGCTAGCATTTGGAGCAGGACCACGTACGTACCAATGAGGTTCAGCTGCTGCTGCGCCTAGTGGTTGGCGTGGGCTTCCAGCTGACTTCACCCTTGGTCACTGATGACGCTGGGTCTGCCATGCGTTTTGAGCCCACCTCATCTTTGGTCACCGACGATTCTTGGTCCGCCACGCGTTTTGGGTCCACCTCATCTTTGGTCACCGACAATGCTGGAGAGGAAATGGCCACCTGCCTCTCCCAGGATTTGGGCCCGTAAGCAAAACTGCCAACATCCCCGCTACCGACATCCCCACTGCCTTTGTGTGAGTGCACCGAGCGCGCAGGCACACGCGGTGGAGGCATGTCCTCCTGCGAAGAGGAAGGGGCAAGGGCATGCAACTTTGAAGCCGGTTTGAGGAGCGGGCTTGGGGTAGAGATGGCCATTTTGAGGCCCTGAAGAGTGCGTTGGCTGGACGGGCGGCTGTTGTCCTGCAGTCGCCTCTTGAACGTCCCGAGTCCAGTAAATACCAACTCTTGAAAAGAGTCTTCCACGCAAGCCCTCTTGCCCTCTGGTGCATCCCCATCTGCCTTGCGTTTGGACTGTGGCAGAGGGTAAGTTACTGGCCCTAGGAGCGCGTCGCATTGACAACTCACATTTGCCTTGTTAAGCACATCCTTGAGCAATTGAACACGCTCCTCCAGCCTCTCTGTTGCCTCGGACATGCTCTGCATGCCCTGAAGAGTGTTGCAAATGGACTCGTACTGGGCGCGGTGCATCTTGACAAGGAGGTGCTCCTTGTCCACTGGAGCCGGAGGCAGGTCCAGAATGTCTGCATTTGTGACATCCATTGCTGAAGCAAGCTGCTGGACATTTTCAAAAGCCGCCTGATATGGGGCCAGCTTTTCTGACACTACCCTCTCCACCTCTGATGCGAGGGGGTTTGTGTCGGCGGCGGCGGCGGCGGATCTGCAAGGAGGTGGCGCGGTCTGCCATGATGGGACCAATTGTGCGCCGCTGGTTTGCTGTGAATGCCTGTGGGTGGCGTGTTGCTGTTTGGAGCGCTTGTATGCGCTTGCTATTTGAGGAAGAGCGTAGCGGGGGTGAGGTGGTAGTACTTGCGTGTCGTGCTTGCAGGTCATGCTTGCGGGTTGTGCGGTGAGGGATGAAAGACGAGAAAAGAAGTGCGCACAAGCAGCACTCACGCACGCGCGCGTGCGTGCTGCTGTGTATGCGCACGCAGCTCGCGAGCTCCATTGAGAGGGGAAGATTAGGGCGCGACGTCGCTGTGAAGATGCGATTGGCACACATAGCAGCAATGACGGCGGCGGGATACGTGTCATAGATCGGGACTTGTCAACGCCGCATCAATGCACCTGCTTGACGGTAATGTCAGGCGTGCCTTGTATGGCGAGTCAAAGAGTTGAAAGGATGGCAAAACAGATTGGGTGTTGGTAGGCAGCGTGTAAAGTGCCGCCTATCTTGTCACTGGGCTCAGATCATGCGTGGAAAGGTTATGCCCAAGCATGCACGCGAGCACACACACACACCCACGCACACCCACGCACACACACGGCAGCTTGTCAAACGAGCATTCTATTTGTTGTCTGTCTCTGTGGTGGAAACAAGTGTGAGCGCTTGCTCAACGTTGCCAGGCGCGAGCGACTCACCTGGATCCCGCGACGGCAATGTGCCCAGCTTGTTCTGCGTGAGGGGCTGCCAACGTCAGTGCCGGCGTTCCATAGTCAAGGAGCGAGCAAGACTCACAATGGAAGCACTGATGTGCAAGGCAATCCATGCAGCGCTTGTTTGCGCGGTTGCGCAATGCAAGCAGGATCTCGTCTGCTCAAAAGAGGTCCCTGTCTGAGGGGCTCTCCTTCTTGAGCGCTTTTACCGCCCACTGGGCATTGGCAGCCATGCTCTCTTTGTTGATCTTGTATTGGGTAAGAGAGGGAGAATGTGAGTGAATGCTCTTGAGGATGCGTGTGCCCTCGGAGATGACAGCATGGTCTCAAGGGTGCATGTATGCAGTGCGTGTATGCTAGCATGCTCTCAAGGGTGCAAGCATCACTCACGCTTCCAGGACGCAAGTTGCCAGAGACAGGTGCCAAGGGGCGGCGGATTGGAGGTGCTTTGCTGCTCTTGGAGGCATAAGAGGCAGACAAGGCTTGTCTGGGTGGGCTGGGTTGCGGGGCCTGCTTTCTCTTGTCCCTGAGCACCAGCTACTCCTCGGCCTTGCGCTTTGGCATGTTGTGTGTGTGTGTTGTGTGTTTGCGTGCGTGCGTGCGTGCGTGTGTGTGTGTGTTGACAAGAGGGTGCGTGGCGGTGGTGATGATGAGAGGGATCGCGGATGGCGAGCCGCTCACCGCTTCTCCTTGGGGTGATGCGCTCGTCTGCTCCCTCGCTTGCCATTACACTAGACCTAAATCGCTTGCTCCGTCTCCCTCGCTCTCTACATTGACTCCGCTCGCAAGCTTGGCCACGAGCGTCACTGGGCCAATGCTCCCGGTCTCCTGACGCTCAAGAACAACACGATGAAGTCCAGCAGCTTGCCCCGCATCTTGCCACCCATGTCCAATTACCTCTGCGCATGATCTTGGCACTTGATGATTCTGCCAGCTGTCCTGGCAGTAGCTCTAGGTACTTGACATCTTTGGTCGGGATTCCTGGGTAAACGTTTCGCGTAGCCTCAAAGTGGATGATGACCTGGTTCTTGGCGCAGGCAAGAGAAGAAAGCGGTCGAAAGACTGTAGCTGGTGCTGTGCGCAACGGTACTAACATCGGTGGTGCTTGCAATTGGCACTTCTTATCATCAGGGGTGCGTGAAACGAATCCCTGTTTCAGTAGGATGCTTGTTGGAGCAATGGTGGAGCCATAGAGCGCTTGCATGCAGTGGTCGTTCGTACATCACTGAGCTCACAACTGTTGAAATATGTAGCATTGCTGCATGCTTGCCATCAGCACTTGCAGCTCGCGAGTGTACGCGACCGCTTTGCCTTGCTGGATTGTCAACGTGATGTGCTGAGCATTGCAACTATCTCTGCACCCTAGTCTGAAAGTAATGATTGCGTGCAAGTGCTGGAAGCACGTCAGATTGCGCATGAGTAGGAAGTTGCAGGTCACAAACATGCCCGCGCCCCCCTTCTATCTTCCCCTCTTGTCCCAAACAGAAGCCAGGTTTCTGTCTGCAATGCTATAGCCATCAAATGATGAAAGCAGGCAAGTACTCTCGGCTAATGGAAGGCTCTTCAGGGAGCAAAGCCCCCCACAGGCACTCATGTCGGCTAAGAGCGGCTGAAACACCACAAAATGCACCTGGCTTGTCTTAAACAAAGGGCTGGAACATGCAGGCCCACTCTGACGTTGGACAATGACGACATAGAGCACATTCACAATTGCAGCAATCAAAGAGGAGCTGCGCAAGAAGGGAGGGAGTGTGTGTGCAGCATGATGCAGCACTAAGCGCTTTGAATCACTCCTTTGCTCTGCTGCTGACACCCACGCAGCGTTGCAAGCCCCACTTGTCCTTATGAAGTTTTCTGAAGTTTCCGCGGCTTAGCGCAGTGTCTCGAATCACTGCAATGTCTGGTGTGAGAGGAGCAGAACGGCTTTGTAACGTGCGATGCGAGATTCATACCGTTAGTCCTGACGCGCGGACACTGTCTGCAAAAAGCCAAAACCGCTTGACCAGTTCAGTCGCTTGACCATCTCGAGACGGGGTACATATGCGACCATTGTGATGATCGTGTTTTGTTGTCAGAGAGCGTTTGATGGAGGCCCTCTTGTGGGACGTTGACTTCGGGCTCCCGACTAGGGACATTTGAAGCGCCCGCAATGGTGATGAATAGCAGTCCAGTGTGACGTGTGTGGTGCTTAAATACGCTCCATAATTCCTCTTCCTCGTCCTGTTGGTTAAGGGCAGGAACAGATCTGCAACTTCCCTACAAATTTTTCTCAGCAAAAGGTGCTGGGGAGTCTCAGAGCTGAGCCTAGCTTGACTAATAACGAGGTGTTGCAAACAACAGCAAGATGCTGGCTGTGTGAAATTTTGGTACTAGGAAAGGAGCGTTACTTCTACATACCATAGTACAGTCCTCTCTTCCTGCGCTACACTCACAGAGGCGAGCGAGTGGCGATGTTTCTTCTTGTTCCTGTCTTACAGCAATCAGTCGTCCTGCGCTTGCATCACACTTTTTCTCATCTACTCTTCGACGGGTCTGTTTGGATTTCCTTACGCGTTCAAGAACGTTTACTGTATCAGAGACAAAATCGACCAACGTGGACCAACTGCAGGCAGGTCATGCGAGCCTTCGAAGCTCGACGGTTCTTATGCCAGTGCAGGCGATGTTCCGAAACTGACCAGGAATGCTCTCGGCGCCGCGACACCCGAGAATCAAGCAGACTCAGCTGGGATCATTCAACCAGAATTTCAAAGAGTGGTTGTCCTCTGACAGCCAAGACAACGATGCACAGAATATTGAGCGGAGGTCTGCTGATGTGTTGATTAGCCCAGGCATCTTAATCCCCAAACATCTTTGTGACGGTCTTTTCTTCGACGGCCAGTTGGAAACACTGGTATTGAAAAAGAGGTCACTGGCAGCATTCGTATGGCAACTCACTAACGTCGCTTTTTTCTGCGGCCTGGAAAGCCTGCCAAGCGGCCACAGAGCTTGCTAGCCCAGCTTGGTCTGCTCATTAGCCAAGCAACAAGACTTGAAGCACCGCAATTCGTTCACAAATCCGTTCAAAGCCTAGGAACATACAATTTGCGCGTCATTGTCGCGCCCTGCTTTCTTGGTCGAGTGACTTTCGGCACTTCATGAACAAAGTGCAGAATCCTGTCCCAAATGGTCTCGAAAAACTGCCGTCATGGCATCATTTTCTGTTGAAAGCATCGAAGACACGCTTCTAGAATATCGGATTATGCATCGACTGCCCGAAATATCTTCACCTTGGCTTAGCCGAGAATTTTATTCTTGCACATTCTCTCAGTCTCCGTCTTATGACAATATAAGTTGAGTTCTTTGCCGTTACGGGGTTTCGGCGTTACTGCGCAGATTAAAGTCTGTTTAATCTTCCTCAACCTCCTTTGAACCTCTTTTGAGAAACCGCATGGGTAGCTCGCAGCTGATTCCGGCTCACTACGAAATCGCCACGTCATGAAAAGCTACGAGAAGATTTTACCGCGACACATTCATCACGACCGTAACAAGCACAGGCCCAATCTTGTAGAGATATTCGAATGCAATGATACTGATGCAGCTCACAGCCCCTAAAATAATTGTTAGCACAATTTTTCTCGGCTGCTCTTAGCTTGATACTGGGACCTGCTAAAGTTTTGTCCGAAGTGAGCAAGCCATCATCGCACTGTATCGTTTTTGTTGCTTGTGCTTGTAGAAGTGGGTTGAAGTTGGGCTGTCAATCATAGCGTGCTTCAAGAATAGACCGACTCTTTCCCATCCTCGCAGAAAATGAGTGCCCGCACATTCCTCTCGGCGCGGTGACCGGGATCCCTGCATTGAAGAATCTGTCCAGAAAGAACCCATTTGCATCAGACTCATTGCGTCGTCGCCAGAACAATTTTTCCTGATGCAAGGTCTTTGATTCTGCACGAGTGTAACTTCGCTTCGTACAAATGCCCTGCACCACGTCCACTGGCGGCCACAGAGCCGCACCGAAAAGTTTCCCAATCAGCCAAACTAACAAACGCAGACAAGAGGTCCGCAACTTTGCAACGCGTGATTTCTAACACTCACCTGCCACCCGGCAGCATCAGGTTGTAACGATCCGAAATTGCTTTCAAACCATTCCGAGTACCACCAATCATTTGGAACGCGCCCGGCTCATGAATAAATTACACTTTTGGGCGTCTAACGTGAAATCGTCGAGTGTTGCCAGGCATACAATAACAGAAGAGTCCATTGTCGACTCCACATCTTTTCTGAAACCGTCTGAAAGGAGACCAACGACAGCCACTTTGCCGACAAACTTTCGCTCACTGGGCTTTACCGCCTCAAAAGAACCATCTTTACGGTACCTAAGCGGATGACCGGCACCTTTGCTTTCGGCACAGAAAGGTTTGAAAGGTTTGGGAGAAATATCTGGCTCAACTCTGCCACCTAGACATCCAAAGTGTCCGCCTGCCAATTCGACATCGCAAAGCGTGGTGCCGTCGGGCCCATATCCAGAGAGAGGTGCAGAAGAAAGGGGCTTCCACTGGCAGCAGCGTGGGCGTCCATGGCGGTCAATATCCCGGCCCAGGGAAGCGCGATGGAGCCACTTGTGGACAATGAGTCAGCTTCTGATCCTCACAATAATGTTCAATGTACCTCGAGCGGACTGCTTGCTTGGCGCGCGGAGATTGTGCAGTGGCAACGAATTTTTCAATACGTGCGCTGCTAACCCCCGTCATTGTCAACCACAATATGACAATCGCGCTGGTAAAATCTCTCGAGACGTCATTTCCTTCTTCGAGCGTGATACAAGCATTTTAGTGGCGGCAAAGAAAAAAATCTATCAGTCTGCGAGCTGGATGCAAAATTCAGAAGGGCAAAGCTTTGCCGCGCTCATGTGGTCCAACAGTCGCATCAGCAAGAATTTGCGCAAAGCAGTGCGCTCTTTTTGATCAAGAGCGGCGAGAGTTCCGGCAACAAACGCGTCGCGTTGGCTTTTTAAGCTTGTCAGGCCCAGTCGCAGAGCCACTCTCCCAGAGTTCGAACAGCCCGTGTGCAATTTTCTCAGCGGACTTATGAAAATGCCTGACGCAAAAGCATTTCTTCTCCTTGACGCATCTTTGCCAAAATGCTCTGATGACAAATAGTCACGCAGATATGCGAAGAAAAACTACGCGCCGCCTTTCCCAGCTTGGCTCCAGAAAGATGCGTCGGAGAATCAGAGAAAGACGCGTCTTAACAACTTTGTGATCTTGTTTGAGGCCCTACTGTCGTCCTCGCCCTTCTCGTGTATACACGAACTCTCTGAAACGTCATCCAGTGAAGTCTGTTGGATGTGAAACGTTGTGCGCTACGTTCAAGCGACTGCATTCAAAGTGGTAGGGTAGTCGTTCACTTGTCATTGCTTGGCGTCGTTCGGAGCCCTTTGCTGGCTTTGCGCGTGTCTAGCAACGAGCGCGCGAAGAACGCGTTGATGCGCGTCTCAGTAAGGAGCGACGAGAGCAGGCTCAGAGTCGAATTAGGTGCTTGAGATCTCAGTTGAGTCAACCAATGGACGTACCTGGACATGCACGCCCACGTTGCGCGCACGATTGCTTCGCTGTCACAAGGTTGGCAAATGATGATCTGGCGTCAAAATGGGAGAATAGTCGATTTTTTCAGATGGCCGTGGCCAATGCTGTCGTTCCCCAGACGACGTGCTACACCCACGTGGAAGCTGCACAGATTGCTCACGAACTTGACAGGCGGATTACAAAAGCTGGATTGCGGGACCGGCACATATTTGCGAACAAAGTCAACGACGGAAGCGCTCGCGGAGCTTGGGAGATATATACAGAGCACACAAGGAACAAGAGGAAGCGTACAAAAGAGGAGTCTTGTGCGAGGATCTTGGCCAATGAGACGCTGGGATTGGCATCTAGCGTGCTATCAAGGCTCGCTACAGGCAGGAGCGCCGTGAAGAGGTCTTCACTGGGCAACCGGGCCAGCCCAGTCATTTGTGCGGTCTTGTTGATAGAGTCGACGAGAATCAGTCGGAACCGGTGGCACTGGAGGTATGTCTTGTTTGGAGCCTGGCACGAAGCCGTTGCTGTCTGTGGTGACGCCCAAGGTGTCGGCCTCGCTCGCCTTGTGTGAGATACCGGGCACGACATGTTGAGCGCCGTGAGGATCATCTTGTGGCAATGCTGCGTCAATGACAACATCTTGCAACGAGGCCCAGTCCTTGAGTGGAACAGAGTCGAGCTCGCCGATGATATTGCCGTTCTGCAAGATTACGGGTCAAAGTTAGTCTTGATTGCACGCAAGTGACGAAGCGGACGCGGGACTGACCATGTCGCGAATGAAGGATTTGCGCTCTTCCTCCTGAGCCGCGTCCTGGTCAGGGTTTGCCGTCTCGTAGCGCATCCACTTCAAGGCCCAATAGAAGCCAGAGGTGACGATGGCGGCAAGGTAAGGAGCAATGTAGTAAATCCAGCATGATCCTTCAAAAGTCCTGGTCACAACGTCAGGACCGAGCGATCGAGCAGGGTTCAAGGAGCCTCCGGTATAGTTCGTAGCGGCAATCTCCGCAATGAATAGAGCAAGGCCGATGCCTGGTGAACGGAGGAGGAGGAAGATGAGTCTCGAGCACGCGCTGGTCCTGGTCGACGATTTCTAATCACTCACCGACCGGAGCAAGGAATGTGCCCTTGTGCTTTTCACCTGCGCCAATCACGAGAGAGGAGATGAGCGTCGAGGTGATGACTCATGTGCACCAAAATTTGCCCGATCGACGTACCTGCAAGCATGAAGATGGCAAAGACGAGCTCCGCGGTGCAAAAGAACTCGATCCAGAAGCCCTGCGCGACTGTGACGCCGCTTCCAAGTGTCGTGCGTGAGTTGATGGGGCCAGGTACGAGCGCAGTAACCAAAAGGGCTGCAAGAATACCGCCGACGAATTGAGTAATGGTCAGGATAGCGCAGCGGAACGCTGAGAGGGTGCCAGTCAGCGTCAGTGCGAGAGTGACCGCTGGATTGAAGAGGCCGCCAGAAATGCGAAAAAAGAGCCAAGCGTTGACAGCAAGCGAGAAACCAAATCCGAGTGACGAGAAGAGCAGCCCAGAAGTGTCGAGAGGTGCGGTGGGAAACTCCTCCTTCATAGCGTTTCCGCGATTCGATGCCTGCGTTGCGGCGAAGAAGGCGAAGAAGAGGAACCTGCAAGGCCGATTTGGTGAGTGTCACTTGACCAGCACAACGGACGAGCTAGAAGCCATGGGAGCTCACAGGATAGTTCCGAGTAGCTCGCTGACGATGATGACGCCAATGTTCTGATGCCAGCAATCACGTGAAAGGTATGTCAGTGCGAAATTCTTGCAGCTCGGCCCTGCCGTCATTCATCCCACCTTGATTGACAGGCGCTTTTCCAACATGTTCAAGTATCCGTCCTCGTCGATGACGGGCGCTTTCTCTACCTCGGTATTGACACGCATGACCTTTGGCAGTGAGGCTGAGGCAAGGCAAATGTAGAAATTAAGTTCAAGGGGAAGCGACGATTTGTATACGTCGCACTCACCCTCCAACTGCTCAATCGGGTCGGCGGACCCAAGTGCGGCTGACGAGGCTGTGCGCGAGAGACTCGCTGGGGTGCGCACCAATTGATCAGCGTCAGTCAGTCGATCGACACGTCCAATGAGATAGCATAGCGGGAGCTACGCACTGGGCTGACGCCGCAATCCCTTGCGAGACAAATTGGCTAAATGGCGCAGAGACACGGCAAGAGGCAAAGGTTAGTCATCAACGACGTGAGGGGCGGGAAGAGGTCAATTGAGATGAGGAGAGCCAGTGGATACAAGGTCCACTTCACTCACATGATTGATGAGCGAGTCTAGACATTTTGCACAGGTGCGGGGCAGGAGCTTGGAGGAGTCTTGGCGGCGCAAAAAGCACAGTGCAGTAAGAGGTAGGTGAGAGGGAAAGGGCAGTGAAGTGATGCGAGGAGGGAGCAAGGCAGTCTGATTGAGCGACATGAGGCGTTTGCGACGACAAGGAGGGGGGTCTTGGAGGATTGCAGCGCGTGGAATGGCACTTAAGTACTGAAACGACGGCGCCGGCTGATTCGTGTGCATGGCCTTTGATGATTCCACACGACGGCGGTTTTGGGTACTGACGGCGTGGGGATGTCTGTGGTCAGATCGCTCATTCCTCGAGTGTACTTTGACGTTGCGTCATCGCGTGGGCATTGCTGACGATTCGCCGAGGTGGAGAACCGAGCGTGGAGGGTTGGCATCGGGCGTCCGGCCCAGAAGGTTGTCAATAACGCGGTGTCTTGCAAGCCGCCGTTGCCTCGATCATTCGCGGCTTCGACTCGATTTGCTTGTGGGCCACCCTGCGCATGCAGAATCAGAAGCAATCGAAGCCAGCATATGCTTGGCTCTGACGGTGCCCGTATCGCGGGTGAGATGGCGATGCAAGGTGCGGCGAGGCGGAGGGGCCCAAGCGCGGGCGTCGCGAGCGTGAAGAACGGCTGAACGGAACACGCGCGGCGGTCCGTGCAAAGGGCTGTAATGCCGTCGCAAGCTGGCGTAGTGGTAGGCGACAGGCGAGATGAGGCAGGTCGGATGCGCTGGTTCGTGTGTCTCTGTCTCCTCGTCTCCTGTATGGGGTGCGTCAAAGCGTGTGACCTGTCCATTCGTGACTTGACTTGCACACGTCTCACTTTGCTGTGAGTGCTCGACGCGCTACGGGCCAGCGATAAGCAGCAGCACGAGCCCCGCAAGAGTCATGCGGGACAGAAAAGGGGGGGGGGGGGGGGGGGCAGAAGCAAAGGAAATTCTGCTTGTCCTTGCAAGACGGAGTGAAGAGTCGAGAAAGGTTGAGGTCAGGTCAGACTAATGCGAAGGTGCACACGCCCCAGATCGCCGCTCCAGCCTTGTCCTTTTGCCATCTGCTGGCACCCTTGCTCTCGGCACCTGCCATTTCGATTTGTACGGTGATGCAGGTCATAAGGGGATCGTCGTTGTCATCATCATCATCGTGCACTTGCGGCTGCCTGATTGCCATCTGCACTGTCCACTCCAACCAGGCGGATGGACCGAGACGAGTGTCGCTTTGGCCGCCACCCTTGCGATGCGGTTCGCCCAGCATGTCGAGCAGCTGCGATCCGGTCGTCGCTGGTTCGAGGTTCAGACAACGCGAGTGCGAGTGCGAGTGCGTGTGCGAGTGCGCGCGCGATGCTGACTGGTGATCGCCGCGATCGGACTCGTTGGGCAGGAGGAGGTTGAAGCGCAAGTCAAGGATGGCAGGAGAGCAAGGATCACCTGCGCTCCATCCTCCTGCTGCCGTTGCCGTCGTCGCTGTAGGACCGCGCTGTATATTGTACACATCGACGGCGACGCAACGCCACTCTGACTCTGACCCGCCCTGCTCCCGCTGCTCCCGCTGCTCCAACTGCCAGCAGACCGTGTTTGGAAGCAGCGCAAAGGTCCAATAAGCCGTGGCTGGTGCTGGCGCATAGAATGTGCGCTTCTCCAACAACGCGTCGTCATGGCAGCCCATGGATCGCAGCACGCTCAGAAAGGCTTGCGAGGTGGAAGTGTGGCCCAGTGCGTGCAGGGGCGACACTTGAGCGGACATGCTGGCTGGGCTGGGCTGGGCTGAATGCGGTGCTGCCTGCTCAAGGTGGATCAAACTTTGTCTCAGACCAAGTCGTCGCGTCGCGTGCTTGATGATCCGTCAACAGCAAACGCCAGATCGGGTTCACACGTCGGAGTGACGGGATGGCATGGCATGGCATGGCATGGCATGGCATGGCATGGCATGGCATGGCATGGCATGGCATGATGGCATGACACGGATTCACATTCGTGCAGCCAGTCTGGTCGATTCGTGTCTCGAGATACTACTTGCAACCAAATCGATAACTTCTGCAGGGACTCACTCTCACACTTCTTGGCTGCTGCTCGCTCCCTCATCCGCGGCACATGCACATGCACGTCATGCATGCAGCATGCGCTCGGATCTCATTCGTGATTCAGATTCGATCCTCGCGAAGCTCTCTTCAGTATTCATCACAATCACGAATGTGAGACACAATCTTGAATGCTGTTCATCTCGACACGGACCCCCATCCTTTAGCCTGCTGCGAAGCAATTCACACTTGTGATTGCCGTACGCTACTACTACTGAGGACCGAGCTTCATCGCCACAATCAACCCGATCACAGGCTCGTCGCGACGCTTGTGCTGTCATCGCTCATGCCTACTAGTCAGTAGACTCATCCCCTCCTCCTCTCGCCCGCACTTCTTCTCGCCATGCACCTCACCACCTCGAGCGTAGCAGACGCATGGCCCACGTCCACGTCCACGTCCACGTCCACGTCCACGTCCACGTCTGCCTTGGCCAGTCATGCCATCAACGCCTCTCGCCATCTGCATCCTTCGCGGCATCTGTCCCATCTGCGCATAGCGCCACGCATGCGCTCGCTCCATGTGCCCACCAGCTCTGCTCGATGCTCTGCCACCATTCCTGCCCTTTCCCTCGCCTCTTTCACTGGCCCGGCCCTTTGCACGAGCCTCGCGCCTCGGCTCGCCCAACGTCTCTACTCCACCGCCACGCCTGTCCCCAAGTCCGCCGCTTCACCCGCTCCGCCCCGATATGGTTTTGCAGCAGTTCGTGCAGCTCCCTTCAAGCACGCTCTGGCCTTTGTGGTCCTGCATGTGGGCATCAGCCAAGTGCTCCTTCTTCCCGCTTACTGGGCCGTGCACTCGGCAGGTCTGGGCAATAGCATGCTAGCGGGTCCCCAAGCTGCCTGGATCCTCTCCCGTCCCCTGCCACCGTGGATGGCCAACGCTGTGGGGCTAGGCTCTGCACCAAGCAAGAGCCCAGCTTTGACGGAGGAGGGACAGGAGATTCGGTCCAAGCAGGAGATTATGCGTCGCAGGCTGGAGAGGCGCGGACGTCGAGCTACAGTCGAGGATCTGCTCGAGCTCGAGGTGGGCAAGCTGGCTAGCGGCGCTTGGGGAGCTGGAGGTGGTCTCATTCGCCTCATCAGCGACTTTCGAGGTTCGGCACAGGATGCAAGCGGAACAGGCACGGATCAGGAATCTCAGCGGGCCATAGACGAGCTCAAGGGCAGAGGAGGCGGCAATGGCGCAGGTGCAGGTGCAGGTGCAGGCGCAGGCGCAAAATCGTGGGGCACCGCGCTGGGCGGGAGTATATCCACTCAAGCTAGAGGCATCGCTGGCAACATTCGCATCACGCAGGTCCGCGATGCTTTTGCTGCTTGGGTCGTCGGTGAGTGTGCGGTGTACCGGTAGCGCTGATGGTCTCGAGCTCATGTGTGCAATGATGTCTTGCTGCCTTCTTGACGATGCGCGTGTTCAGTCAAGGTGAGTGCGAGGGCGCCAAAAGTAGTCGTGAGTGTCATCCTCGCATCGTGTGCTGACGAGCAATGGCGGTGAACGGGTCCGATCCAGATGCTATTCCCGGTGAGGTTACCTTTGTCAGTCTTCTTGACGCCGCGATTCGTCAGAGGTCTGGGTAGAATGTTCGCAAGAAGAAGCGCCGCTTGAAGCAGATTCTGGCTCATTTTTCAAGGCTCGCGCCACCACTAGCCGGCTCAATCACAATGTATGAATTGTGTCGTGCCCACACCATCAAGATGTGCAGGTGGTGTCCGCTTCACGAATTGTGGGGGTGCGACTGACGGCAAGAGCAGATGATCTTGATTATACACGCAGGTCATCCGCTCTTTCACTCTGAATTGGATACGGCCACACGCACCAAGTCTGTCGGTGTCTAGAGTTCAAGTGAGAAACTTGATTTCAAAAGCATCAAAGAGGGTAAAACGTGGAATTCTAGCCTGCTTGACAGCACGAAGAACCAATCATGGCGTTTTGGTGAGGAGAGAGCCGTGCACGGCCAGCCGCAGGAACAGCAACGAGACACGCACATCTTGACGCGCCGACATGTTTGGGGGGTTTGCCTGGCCGAGAAGCGAAGCGATGTTATGACTACGGTCGGCCAAAAGGCTGGCAGCAGCACAGTCGGTTGATCGCCACTTCGCCCATTCAGACTGCCTACTCGAAGCCATGGAGTGGTCGGTCTGTTGCGCGCGTCTCCTCTTTCCGTTCGGGCGCACGCGTTGCTGTGAATGGAGTGCCTGGCCGTTCTTGGTTGCTGTTGCTTGGGCTGGCCGATCAGAGCCCCTAAACTCGTAGCGACCTTTGCAAGTAGAACGACTTCTTCTGCATCGCGGCGATGCGGCTTTTTGAGCGATACTGGGCATGTTTGTGCTTTGCAAGCGACCAGTGGCCTCTGTCGACCCGCAGTGAAGGTCCTGTGCGAGAGGCGGAGCGCGAGAGAACCGGCCAAGCTGCCAGCTTGCCCGCCACGGACACTCGACTTCGCGACGCAAGGCGACTCGCAAAGGCCGAAGGCCGTCGCGCAAAGGGACAGCGTCTTGCGCGACGAAAGCAGCGAAGAGGTGCGTGTGCAGGAACAAGCGGGAAGGCTATAAAGTCCAATGTTGCAGAAAGAACCATCCATCGCTTCAGCACACCCATCCCTTCTCCTTTTGAGGCTGCTGCTGGTCAGAGCCTGCATTTGCTGTGCATCGTGCAAGAAGCCGGGCCCTTTGACGATCCACGCCTGTACCGCGCAGCGCAAAGAGTCGAACAACATGTCCGCCCAGAAGCTTGTGCCCTGCTTGCTCATCCTGACGCTGATTCGTGGCGTCTGTGCGCTTCCTCCGCGAATCGATTCGACGCTGGATCGCGTGCGGCGCGTCACCTTTTCTGGCGAGCCAGACATCTACGGTGCCTCGTTGGGCCGATTGAGTAGAGTGAGTAGTGCAACCGTCGCATAGTCACAAAGGGGCAAATCAGACGGCTGAGGTGTGAAGCGAGCTGCGTCATCGTCGTGGAACAGAATTCGAGCACGAGATCATCTCGCTCGTCGGGTTCCTCTTCTTCTTCTTTCGACTCCTTCGGCTCTTCTTCGACCATCGACGTTCCCGTGGCTCCTGCCGCACTCGAACACGCCGCCCGTTGGACGCTCAGCTCGCCGCATCCACTCTACCACGAGACGGCAGCGGAGAATGAAAGCCTACACAAGAATTCGGCTGCACACGAATTTGTCACTTCATGGTATGGGCGCACCGACGCTTCTCTGCGAGCAGCACACAAGGTGATCCACCCTCACACCAAGTGGCGCTTTGTGGCACCGCACACGGACGCCCATGGCGTCGCGAGAGGCGCCAAGTTGGAGCTATACAGAGTCAACGGCAAAGCACCGCGCATGCCGGTGGTGCACGACTTGGAGATGGAGAACAAGGTGTTCTTGCCGTACAAGAAGGGCAAGCTGCTAGCGCAGATCGACATTCCGCAGGGAGCGGTGACGCCCAGGATGGGTGTGTATCACGTCAAAAAGACGCCCATGCACAAGAAGGGGCTGGATAAGCGCCCGACCAGGGCGCAGGCGCAAAAGTACATCAACAAGCTGTCGGAGGCTGACCGCGGCAAGCTGTACATTCATCACGCGGATGTCGCTGCGCATGCATGAAGCGAATGCGGGCTCCCTCTGAAGTGGGAGTGGTCGAGGTCGCAGTATCCGCTGCGATATGCACCCAGTGCATTGTCGAGGTTCAAAAGTTGACGCGCGCACAGTGTGGTGCCATGCGAACGTGTGAGGGAATGGAGAATGATGCACTTTTCAACCCCCCTGCATTGGCCTATCTGTCTGCGCGTGGTGCTGGTGTACTTGTGCCGAGAGGCGAGTAGGTCGAGACGCGAGGCGTTCGCTGAACACACTGAGCGTTGGGATCAGCGCGGGGGGGGGCGAGAGTCTTCCACTCATGCGCCCATATAGCAGCTCGATATCAAGCTGCTTGGCGTGCCAATTCGGCTCGAGCAGCTGCGTGTTGGCGCGACAAATCTTCCAGCAACCTCTTTTGCTGTTGCAGCTGTTTATCTGTGCACGTGACGTTGACATGGCTTGGGTGTTGAGAAGGTGCGATGCAAAAAGCAAGTCTTTTGCGAAAATGTGCGCGGCCAAACTCACCTGCTGCCAGAGTGACGCGAGCAAACTCCTCATTGGCCAATCTCATCTCCGCATCCAGCTCTCCAAGTTGCTGCCCATCCCTCGCCTTGTCCGCCTCCTCTTCGTCATCCTCGATCGCACCACCGCCGCTGCCGCCACCGCTGCCTCCGCCTGCCACCAGCTGCTGCATGGCATGGCTTTGAAGGCACTCTTTGAACCTCTGAGCAGCCTCTACCAGATCCTCTTGCAGCTCATCCACGCTCTCCGACATGGCTTGCGGTCCCACCCTGTGCTCGCCCACGTGATGAGGTGCTGCAGAGACGGCAATGCGGGCATCCACCTCTACAGGCAAAGAGTGTCCTGGAATGTAGGAGATGGAAGCCGTGGCGATCTTGAGCATCAGCGCCAATGTCCGCTCCAGCGTCGTCAGCGGATCCTGCGTGCTTGCTGCTGCTGGTGGTGGTGGTGGTGGTGTTTGCGTCGATGTTGATGCTGATGCTGATGCGGGTGGGCCTGCGTTGGCAGGTGCTGGTGCGGGTGCAGGTAAGGGTGCGTTTTGCCGCTGTCCAGCCTGACTCTCCTGTCCCTCTGCTGCCCTTGCCTGCACCTCATCATCAGCTGACATTGTGGCCATGTGAGATCATCGATGATCCGAATTGCAATTGGAGTGCACTGCTAGAGACAGGTAGGCGCGATGACGAATCGAATGATGGTTGTCGTTGTTGCAATTAAGCACCGCGGCCTCCAATTCGGAGTTTCTTCTTGACCCTTGATTCAAATTGCACACCCGATTCTTGATTCAAATTCTGTTGCCATCAACCCAGACAAATCGCGAGTGCGAGTCACGCGCGCCCATCCACATCACGTGATTGTTTCATCGAGTAGCCTTCGACAACAACTCAAACTCACGCCCAGCAAATTCTTGATATCTACGCGCAAAGGCGCGAGTATGTGCCTCTTGATTCGTGATCACTGACTGGTGCTATGCGCAGCGGTAAAACAATATACCTTTAAGCGGAGCTGCTGTCCTTTCGGGTACTTTTGTAAATAATCACCGTCGCCTCTTGGCAAACTGTCAGCCTGAAGCCCAAACGAGCCATCTCCGCCGCCGCAGACGTTTGTGGCAGTGCAACGATACGGTGTGCGCCCGCGGAGTCAGACTGTCATGAGATCACCAAACCCCGGATTGGGAGCTTGGCGCATTCGTAGCGGATATAGAAGAGGAGAAGCGCTCAGCGTGCAAGATACAGTGTTGAGTGTGCAATCAGTTGCAGTGGTACTGGCGTTGGCAGTGTAATGGACGTCGATGACGCTTGCCACATTGTGACTCTTGCATTGCGCACTGAATTGTCCACCACGCTTCGGGCTGCTCTCGGGTTCGAGAAAGCCATCACGATTTGGCGCTTTGCCGTCGCATCCAGTCCATCACGTCATACAATTCCGGCCATTGCGAAAGCTAATCGCCTCGGACAGAGCGCAAATCATTCATCAAATTGTCTGCGCAGCTATAATGGTCACCCGTCCCCCATACGACGGCTTGGCGATGCGAGTCGCACCGTCGACACCACGACGCGCAAAGTGCGTCGTGTGCGCGTGCCTACATAAGCAGCGGTCAGCATGACATTTGCAAGTCACGATCCGCACAAGCTTCTCCTGCTATTTCTTGGGACTCGGCACTCCACCGTCTGCACACGAAAATCCTATCTCTAGCAAGCAGCACAGACTTTCGTTATGCGGTACCGCGTCCAGTCTCTGCTTGCCTGCATCATGCTCGCAGCTGCACCGCACATCGTAGCCCTTCCCCCTGCGCAGAAGCCAGGTGACTACGATGCGGCACTCCGCAACGCTCTCACCGACCCAGCCAGTCAGCTCGGGGCCTACCTCAAGAACTCCACACAGACCCTCGTATCTGGCACGGGAAACTCTTGGGCCGACACGGTGTACAAGGCCAGCCCCGAGTGAGCGAGAAAGGTGTTGCGCTGCATGCGACCCGACTTTCACCCTCTGAATGCCTTTTTGTCTTGCTTCTCCCCCCTTTTGTCAGAGCACGCAAACTCACGCTGCCCAAGCAGCCGCTCGAGGATCTCCAAAACGCCATACAGGGCATAGGCTACGCAGGATCTCTAGCAGAGAACCGCGGCTACACTTTCCAACCAGACGATGCCGATCTCGCCTTTACCGGCAACTGGACTTTTCTCGTCTACCAGCAATTCCATCACGTGCTCACCGAGAGCTTGTTCGTGGAGCGCGCAAACAAGCTCGAGGTGCAGAGCCAAATCGTCGGTGGTGTGACGCAGATCCGATCTGCTTGGAAAGATGCTTGGCCCAAGCTCTTTGGTCGACTGTGAGTGACGAAGCCCCAATGCCAGTCAAGTCCTTCCCACTTGCTCGCTGCTCGCGACTCGCTCATGCCATGCCATCTCAATCCCCCTCCCCCTCCCCCGCGGTCAGCTCCGACAAGTGGGAAAGCAAAATCGAAGTGGGGCACAACGTTGAGCAGTTCGATCAGTGGTTCGCTGACATCCTCAAGGCGTATTCCAAATGAACGATCAGGGCGATGCGAGCGATCAGTCTCACCACGACTCAAGTGACACTCTCCCCCCGTCGAAATGTGATGCATTCAGTGACTGATATCGTGTGCGGGGCAGCGTGCGCGATGCGACGATTACGCGGCTTCGAGGACCACACCAGCAGCGACGCTCTCTCCAGCAAGCCTGAGCACCACTCTGCCCATATCCCTGCTCTTTGCAAAGATTTCGATGGGCACACCAGCGCTAGACCCTTTGCTCGTTTGGGTCGGAGTGATGCTGATCCTGACCTCGGCTGTGCTGCCTCTCGAAAGCACCCTGGGCTTCGCCTTGAGCGTCGATCCGCTCTTTGCATCTATCGTTCGCTCTAGCGAAGTGATGGTGCAAGGAATGTTGGAAGAGTGGTGGAAAAGCTCGAGCGAGGTGCCCGACATGAGGGGTAGCGACGGCTCAAAGACCAGCAGGCGTACAAGCAGCGTGGTGACTAGAGGTACTGGTGCGTTTGGCGGGCACAAGACGGATCCGATGCTGGGATGCAATAGAAGTGGTGTGAGGTGGAAGCGAATCAAGAGGCTCGGTCGTGACGACTCACTTGACGTGAATTTGATCGATGCCAGTCAGGAAGCAAGTGACTGTGGATCCAGCAACTGCCCAAGGCACGGCATCGCCATCCAACTCGATGGCTGCGCATCGTCACTATCAGCTTGTTGATATGATCCTCGATGACGCGTTCCCGATGCGACGCACCTTTGACGAGGCCCGTTTCGTCACCGGGTACCGCAGCAAGGCGATCGCCTACCGAGACGAGACCAGAGACGATACGCCCCGTAACACCGAGTCCGGAAGAGATGGCGGTAACTTGACCAGATCTAAAGACATTGGTGACTGGTATGCGCAATGGTGCATCGAAACTTCTCGTTGGGGGAGTCAAGGTATCTGCGGGCCGAAGAGACGTGTGAGTCCGAGGAGAGCTCTGCAGCCGCCACCTGCGAGTGGAGCTCACCGAGCACCTCCACCAATGTAGGTCCTCCATACCACCTTGCGAGATCGCCGCTCTGGCTCCGCTGGCTAAGGTTTTCTCCTACAGCTGCGCCACAAGGCACAAATCTGACCCCGCTTGCTCCCTCTCCAGCCGTGTCGAAGCCTATGCCAGCAAGAAAGTTCTTCACCTTGTCGACGATTTCGGTAAACCTGTGCTGATCGTAAGCTACCGCATCTAGCTTGTTGACAGCGACGACGATCTGAGACGTGCCCAAGCTCCTCAGCAAGACTGCATGCTCCCTCGTCTGACCCTTATCCCCAAAACCAGCTTCGAAAGCACCCAAGCTGGCGTCCACTACGAGCAGCCCAGCATCGGCCATGGCTGCTCCCGAGATCATGTTGGGTATGAAATCTCGATGACCTGGAGCGTCGAGCAGCGCGAAGCGCCTATGAGGCGTGTCAAAAGTGTCGTGAGCAATGTCGATCGTCACTCCCCGACTGCGCTCCTCCTCTGACGAGTCGAGCGTCCATGCGTATGCAAAAGAACCCTTGCCGGCTTTGGAGGATGCGCGAGCATTGGCTTGATACGCCTTGTCCGTGAGCGATCCCAGCTCGTGCAACAGTCGGCCCATCAATGTCGACTTGCCAGCATCGACGTGACCTGCGCGCGTGGGTTTGCAAGTAAGCGTGCGCTCCCGACCGAGGCACCTGGCCTGACTCTGAGACGCGTGCGTGCGAGCGCATCGACGACTCACCAACAACGACCAAGCTCATGCTCCTCCTCGCATCCGCCGCTTCCTTTGCGCGCCACTCTTCCAAAATCTTTTCGTGCGCCACCGGTCTGACCGCCACATCGCTACCAGCATCGCTGCATTGCTCGTCCGCATCGCCCTCTTGCAGATCCAAATCTTTTAGCCTCCTTTTCAATTGTTCCGCCTGTCCATCGCTCGTCTTGCTGCTCTCCATTGCCGCACCCGCCGCTGCCGCTTTTCGCAATCCCACAGAGGCCTTTTCGCCGCTCGATCCACCTGCTACCTGCCCGTTTGATCCCGTCGCGCGCGTCTTGGCAGCGATGCTCGGCGTGCTGGCTCCTGAAGGTGCTTTTGATCCGCTGGATGCTGCTGTCGAAAGCGAGTCGCGCCTCTCACACGTCAGCATAGGATGATCGGCGCACTGTCACTGCCCGCATCTGGTTTCGCTGCTGCGGGTCGACTCAAAATCTCATCTATTGCCAGCGTGCGCGGTAGGATCCAGCGCAGAGCCTTGCCTGGCTTGCAGGACCACGTCATCGGGGCTGAGCTTGGCAAATGCGGTGTTGCGCAGCTGCGATGCTCTCTCCGATGACGTCTGCAGCGGTTCAAATGGCGAGACGCTCGGAGCGGATTTGGCATGCTTGCCTCCGACCATCAAAGATGCGAAGGCGGATGAGAGGCTCTGACCATTCGCATCTTCTTTGCTCTGCCTCGCTTCCAGATCCTCCTGCATCGGAAACAGCTGGCTGCTGCGCACTCCCGAAGGCAGCTTCTGACTCTGCTCCAACTCTCGCCGCCTTGCCGCTTGAACCTCTTCGCTCTCCACCACCACCGCCTCGATCTCGCCCTGACCGCTCCGAGCTGCAGCTTTCGCTTCTCGACTAGCTTGAGCTCGCTGTTGGAGCTTGGAGAGCGGTTTAGCCGTCATCGGCGCAGGAGTTGCTGCTGCTGATGCGGGCGCAGATTCGCGAGGAGGGAGTACAGTTGCGGCAGCAGCGGAGGGCTTGGTGGCTCGAGCAGCAGCTAGAGCAGCCAATTTGCTAGGTCTGGCAGTGTCTGCTGCAGGGCCATGTGCGTGTGCATTGGCGGCAGCAGCGCCGGCGGCGGAGTGTCCATCGCTCGAGCCGCTTGCGTCGACAGTGGCAGCAGCAGGTCGCTTGTTTCTTCTGGCGACTGCCAGCTGAGCCAGCTTGCTACCTGCGCCTCCTTGACTCTGAGAAGCGTCTGCCACACTGAGCTGCGCCTCGAGCTGCTGAGCCAGATCAGTCTTGGCATCACAGGACTGCGATGATACGCCAGGCAAGCCAACGGGCGCCAGATCCCTCAATGCGCGCTTGGCCATGCCCGATCTGCCTCGCGTGCCGAGTCCGCCGATGCCTCGACCTCGGATCGCGCCGCTGGGATGCGCAGATGGTCGCATGGTGCTGCTGCTGCTGCTGCTGCTCGACTCCAAGTTCATCTCGTCCCGAAGCGGATCATCAACTGAGATTGCAAATGGGGCAGGTTCGAGGTGGCAGAGAAGGACGCGTGCATCGCAGCGAGTCAGCCCTCGCGATGCTCTGACCTCGAAGCGCGGCAGTAGCGTGCGGTGTGGTGCGAGCAGATCGAGGGTGAGGGCCACTCGCCACAGTGGACATGCACGGTTCCGTTCTGCTGCGCTGCGCTCCGTCCCTCTCCCTCTTCGCCACACTCTCCCCGCAAAGCAGCGACCACCTGATCGATGGCACACGCTAACAAAACACTCGCCGAGCCTTGAAAAGCCTTGACACTGCATCCGCATCGCATCCCACTGCACTGCACTGTGACTCTGCCCCCCCCAACTCACCCTTTTTGTTTTCCCTAGCTTGCCTGCGCTTGCTCTCCCTCAACGCCCACTCCACCGTAGCCTGCACATCAAAGTAGTTCTCCCACAGTGACGATTTGATATCTGCCTCGTCGATGAGCGAGGAGCTGCCTGGTGCTACAACAGCAGCGACTTGCGCAAACGCCACTTGCAGCGACTCCAGATCGGATGACGATGCATCGGCTGGATGGGCAGGGGCAGGGGGGCAATCCACGCAGCAGCGCGATGCTAGTGTGTGTCAGCAAGCACGCACGCACCCACGCACCCACGCACCCACGCACGCACCCACGCACGCACCCACGCCCGCTCGCATGCCTACACATCACTCACCCCACGGCTCTTGTTCATCGTCGTAATAATCATCCGCCAACTCTTCGTCCAGATCCAAATTCCTCACTGCTCGATGTCTAGACATGATTGCGCGTGTGTGCGAGCGGGTGTGTGTGTGTGCGCGGGAGAGCTGGCTTTCGAGGTGCTTGTGCTTGCTGGTGCGAGTGGGGAGGTGTGATGGCGGTGATGATCGTCGGCAGCGCTCCACATGATAGGATGCCGCATGGATGCACGCGCGTCAAGCAGTCAAAAATCTCGAAGTCACAGTCACGAGTCAGAGTGTTCTTTTGGCGCGCGCGCGGCATTTGTCAGACTGACAGAAGAGAAAGGGAGAGCACAGAGCAGCGTGCGCATGTATGCTGTACCGGTATGCCTATACTCACAACTAAATTCAGAAGCAGCAGCAGCAGCACTCACGACTCACGACTCTTGACTCAACTTTGCCCGGGCAGGGCAGCACACGCAAAGCGATGGTCACGTGTTGCGTCCTCTAAAGCACGCGCGTCCATGCATGCACCTCCGCCCCGCCCGATTTGAATTAAAATTGAATTCGATTTGACGCTCGATTCAATCTAGTGGGGTGGGGTGGGGGTCAATCTCGATGCACCCACCCGGAGCAAGAAGAATTGGCGCTGCGTGGGAGTTTTGAGTGCATATGGGGGGGGGGGGGGGACAGGCAGGCAGGCAGGCGAGCGAGCGGGGCAGGTGGGCGGCGAAGTACAGTCAGAGTACTCGTGACTGTGCCTGGTCAAATTGTATCAGATGTCCGCATCGAGCGCAGCGCGGCGCTAAAGCCGAAAATGTACACACACCCCCTCCCTCGGTTCGAGCTGCTGCTGCTGTTTCGCGTGGATCGTGCGTCGATGAGCTCGCGGACAATTCGGGCAAAGCGCGCTTGCCGCTGCAACGCAGAGAGAGAGAGAGAGAGAAGCGGTGCAATGGAAGGGCATCGCGGGGATCATGACGGTCGTGGGTCGTGGGCCGTGAGTCGTGAGTCGTGAGTCGTGAGTCGTTAGTCAAAAAGGTGTTGCATGGATGTGCGGCAAATTGTTGTGCTTGTGGGGGATGCGGGGGGAAAAGATGCAAATATAGTTTAGTTGGCTAGTCTGCGAGTCTGAGTGTAGGAGTCGTGAGTGTGAGTTGGTTGCCTCTTGCCCATGATATCACCAATTTTTACGTATAAAGAGAGAAGCAGGTGTGTGTGGGCGGGGTGGGGAGTGGGAAGGGAGAATGCGCGCTTAGCTTATTCACCGTCATCATCCCTACTCTCCTTCAGCCAGCGCATCGCATCGCATCGCATCGTATCGCATCGCATCGAGTAAAAGGCATCATCCCCAATGACGGGCTCGCAAGACGAGGCAGAAGAGGCTGTGCTCGCACGGGGAGGAGAGGTGCTGCGAGCGGGTCAAGCATCAAGCGATGAAGAGCAAAGTGGCACAGACACGATCCCGCAAGCAGCAGCAGCAGCAGCAGCAGGCAAAGAGAAAGAGGAAGGGCAAAGTGGCGCGGCGGCGGCGGCCAGACTGCAACGCATGCCATCCATCTCTGCTGCCAGCAGAGCATTCCCAAGAGGACTTCGAGCGCGCATCCTCAATTTCACACCTTCCTGGTTCAGCGTGTCGATGGGTACGGGTGGTGTTCACATCCTCCTGCTGCTCTTGGCCGACGTGTGGTCAGCCTATGCTTCCGACGCCACTGCAGATGATCACCAGAGCTTTGCTAGCAACACCACCTTGCCCGCCAAAATCCTCCGATGGCCTGCCCTCATCTTTTGGATCGTCAATTGCGCACTCTTCTTTACGTCAGTCTGAGTCTTCTCCCTCTCATCGCTGCGCACGTGTCGCGTCGCGTCGCCATCCCACATCATGGCCAGGGGGCAAATCAACTGACAATCCAATGTTTTGCGGTGTTTCCCCCACGCCACTCACGCCACGCACGCCACGCACGCACGCACGCGCAGCTTTCTGCTCGCTTTCATCAGTCGCTACGTGAGCGTCAATGTGCCCCCCGCTTTTGCCCTGAATGACAGCCACTCGAGTCCACCTTTTTGCTCAACACATCGAATCGCCCCCACGCAGATCATGTTTCCCGCCGTCTTGCCTCTGACGCTGACGCAGTGAGTCTGCGCGCGCCTCCGTTTGGGGGGAACGGGAGCGCTGGGGGAGCGCCTCCTCGCGCGCAACGCGTTCTCCCCCCTGTCCGCCCGTCCGCCCGTCCGCCATCACACTCACGTCACTCACACATCCGCGTCCACGCTTTGCTCCTCTTTTAGCCCTCAAAAGTCGCCCTTTTTGGGTACTGCACCCATGGCCTTTCTCACGCTCATCTCTTCCCTCTCTCAACTGGGCACCCGATTTTTCGCGCTAGGTCTGACGCCCACCATCCTAGCAGCTTCGCTCTGGTTCGTCGCTTGCTTCGTCAGCACCTTGTGCGCCCTCGTCGTTCCTTTTAGCATGATGATCCTTCAAAATCACCATTTCGAAGGAACGACGGCTGCCCTGCTCTTGCCCGTCGTCCCTCCCATCACTGCAGCTGCGACGGGAGCTGGCATTGCGGAACTGCTGGCCATCGACAAGCCATCCCTCAGCTTCACCGTTCTCGCTCTAAGCTACATTATGAATGGCGTCGGGCTGATGCTCGCTTTGATGGTGAGGGGCATGCCCATAAGCGCTTCCACCGTCGATGGCCACGTTCATTTCGCATTCCCACGTGCCTTTGCTCATCTTCATCTGCTCACCTCGCCCTCCTTCATCCGCGCAGATTCTCACTCTATACTTTCAGCGTCTGCTCCTCTTCAAGTAAGTCGTCGTCCCCACGCGCGCGCGCGCGCTGCCCCAATCCGCTACGCAGCCGCTCGTCACTTCGCAACTTTTACAGCGACGCACAGCTCACGCAGCACGCCCGCCCCTGCGCACCTGTTCAGTCAACCACCAAGAGAAGTCATCATTTCGGTGTTTTTGCCGCTGGGGCCGTGCGGTCAAGGTGCCGAAGCACTGCTACATCTCGGTCAAGCTGCCTTGCGCCTGTTCCCAGTCATTTCCAGTCTCGCGCTGCCCACGCCGGGTACGGGACACGGCGATGGCGTGCCGCTCTTGACGTACGGCGTCGCCCAAGCTCTCTACGGAGCGGGTCTCGTTGGTGCGCTGCATCTCGTCGGACTGGGCGGCTGGTTTTGCCTTTTGGCCATCGCCATCGTGTTCAGGGAAGCGACGCAAGAGAGGCTCAAATTCAACCTCGGATTTTGGGCCGCCACCTTTCCGCTGGCCAGTCTCATCATCGGTGTCGGAAGGCTGGCGTTGGTCCTCGACAGCTTGGCCATACGCGTCGTCTTTACGCTGATGTGCTTTGCGTACGCTCTGGTCTACTTTGGCGTGGCCGTGCCCACTCTTCGAGGTTTCATCTCTGCAGAGCTCTTGGTCGCCCCGTGCATCGCTGATCTTCCCCTTGATCCGCTCAAGAAGTATCGGGACCCCAGAGATGAGGTGGAGGAGCGGTGATGCGGTGAAGAAAAAAAAAAAAAAAAAAGCCATCCTCAGCGCCGCGCGTCGGCTCTCAATCATCGTCGTCTTCCGCCAACATGCTGTCGAGATCGGCTGCCAGGTCGACGGGCAAGACGAAGTTGGGATCGTCGTCTGGATCGGGTGCGACGTAGATGACTTTCTCGATGGAGTCAGCGTCAGAGGACAACTGGCCGAAGCCTGTGCTGTGCAAAACACGCGGTTGCACGGGGTCCCGGAGGTCGTGTGCACTACCTAGAATATCTACGAGCACCTCCTCCTCATCCAACTTCCTCCTCGTCGCTGCCAGTTCATCTTCCTGGACGCACAGAAGGAGCCATGAGCGTAGATCAGCGCTCCGAATCGTCTCCATGCCACTCACCACATCGAATTCGTCCTCGCGCTCTTCGTACTCGACGTTCTCTTCCAGCTCTTCGAAGCCAGGAGCATAGGCAGACCAAATTTCTGCGCCGGGTGTGAACCACAAGTTGACGCTGCCCGCGCCAGCCGAGGCCGAGGCAAGCAGAGGCCGAGTGGGGTGCCACTGGGAGATGTGCCAGGGATTCATCAAACTTCGAGCTGATCTCCGCTCGTCTTTCCAGCTACTCACATCGACGTCCATCAAGCTATCTCTTGGGCCCTCGAGGACCTTTTCTAGCGCTCCAAGACCTCTGTCCCAGATGTAGATATTGTGCGCCTGGACGTGAGCAGCACCTGCGAAAATGTACTCTCCGTCGGCCGAAAATCCGATGCCAGACCAAGGCGTGCGATTGACCAGATCTTGAAAACGGTGCGTCGGCGTCAATTCAGGTAGAGTGCGAGTGTGAGAGTGCGAAGGGGAGTGCGCGAATTGTTCTGGCGCTGGCTCCCCGCTTGGCGTGGCTGCTCCATTAGCGACTGGGTGTCCATTCGACGCGCCATCTACGCTGTTAAAGGACAGTGCAAAGACGCGAATGCTCCGGTCGTTGGAGTTGAGAACGACGTTTCTGTGCGACGGAAGTACAACGTCAGACGCGGGCGCGAGAGACAGCATTGTGGGCAGGCGTGATGCTCACCTTCCACTCTTGCCCCACCGCATCTGGCGCACTGCTCCGCCCCCAACATTCACCCTGCTCACCAGCTCCACATCTATCCTCGCAGGCACCTCGCGAATGGGTGCATCTTCATTCGCGAGCACATTTGCCAAGCGCGCGCTGTACTCGTCGACGTTGAGCGTGCGCAGAGCAAAGAACAGAAGGAGTCCCCGCGTTGTTCCTGCGAGCAAGTACTCGCCCGAGGGATGAAAAGTGGCCGATGCGATGCCTCCGCTAGCGCGAGTCAGGAGCCAAGCGAAAGTGTCAGAAGGGCAATGCTGAAGCGCATACATGCACGCATTCCCGCCTTGCCTACCCACTCGCTCGCATCAAAATGGGACTCCAAAGCGATGCGCTTCTCTATGACCTCTTCGGCTTGCCAAGTGCAGCGTGAATCGGCGTGCCTGTGAAGGCCTCTTTGCCGCACGCCCAGATCAACGATGACGGCTTGTTGCGTCTCGAGCGTCAGCAAGAGGGTATTTCTGCGATGCGAGAAGCGCAGAACCATGAGCATCGCGATCAAGCCTCCCCGTGCTGCTTGCACGTGCACGCACGCACACGCCGCACACTCACGCATCGCCGTACTGAAACTCGACGCCGATGAGGGGCGCATCCAGTCTGATCCTGTAGCGGGCATAGGCACCGCAGGGAGGCAAAGAGTGGCTGGAGATGCGTGTATGCGCATGATGCTGTCGCCGCTGCTGCTGCTCCACCGTCGTGCTGGATAGCATAGAGAGGTCCCACACGAGGCAGATGCCGTCCAGCGATGCGCTCGCCAGCATCCTACCTCCTCCCGCCGCCGCTGTCCCCTTGCCACCACCCATCGCCCTCACTCTCTCCTTGCCGCTCCAAGCCAGTGCGGTGACGGCCTTGACGTGACCCTCGAGTATTCTGACGGCGCATCGCGTCTCCAAATCGTAAATGACGACGAAACCATCCGTGCGACCTACGGCGAGATAGTGACCCTTGCTTAGACCGGATGGGGAGAAGGAGAGGACGCTGCAGGCAGAGGAAAAGACGCGATCGACGGAATCTGGAAGGTGCGAAAAGGGGTTGAGCGTCATGATGAGCAGGACTTTGAGCTTGTGGACATGTGGGCGATCGGCGTGGTCGCTGGCTGGTCGCTGGTCGCGAGTCACGAATGCAAGCGAAGGCAGTTGCGCTTTGCTCGCAAGGTCAAGACTCGCGAATTCAATAATTTGATGATCACGATGAGTCCATCTTTGACATTCAAATTCGTGATTTGGCTGTACGGTGCGGTACCGCATGAGCGTCACGTGTACGCGCAGAATCAAGACATCATCATCGCGTACGCTGCGCGGCTTGACGCGTAGATGCGCTTCGACGCGTAAAGTGGCACGGCGCGTGCGCGTGTTGGATGGTTTGCGTCGCGCGTTAGCTTAGCGCGGCGGCGGCGGCGGCAGCGGCGGGTGGCGAGGCGCAGCATTCAAGATTCAATGATTCAAGAACAAGCGCGATCTTAGAAAATAAAAAAAAATCAAGAATTTGAATCAAGATCAGGAAGCTGTCCCTGTCGGATCACGAATGAAATCACAGACGTGAAGCGTGCATCGAGCATCGAGCTGTCGCTACTCAGACTCATACAGTCACGAGTGGTGAGTCTCTCTGAATCAATGTGGCACCAGATCCACACAGCCAAGAGTCAAAGGGTCGCGCGAGTGGAGATGGTGACTCACACTGACGCCTCCTCATACCTCACTCACGCCGTGCATTCACGCCACTCCCATCCACATGCTCACCCCGACTGCACCACAATCACCGGCCACCGCTCCACGCGTTTGCCTTGTCTAGCAACATGGACCACGATGACGGGTCTTTCTCATCTCAGCCTCGATGCGAGTCGAGCAGCCAGGCATCCCCAAGCAAGCGGCGCTACCCGGATGTGCTCGACTCTAGTCCCGCACTCGCTACGCCCAGCACCAGTGCGACCAGCCACAGTGCGGGCAGCAGCAGCAGCGCTTGCTCGCCTTTGCTGAACAGCTCCAAGCCCACAATCGCGCGCAACGCATTGCTTCCAGTGGACCCAGATGACAGCGCGGACGACGATGACGATGACGATGACGACGATGAGGAGCAGGAGCAGGAGCAGGAGCAGGAGGAGCAGCTTCAGAATGTCGGGCGCAGCTTGTTCGGCTTTGGCTCATCGCCCCTTTCATTCTTGCAAGCATCGGCTGCTGCGTCAAGGCGAGATCGTGTGCAGGTGCGGGACGTTGGCGGCAGCAGGGCAAACACAATCGCGCGCACACCGCCACCTGCTCGCACCAGCACCAGCGCGTTCATCGTCAAGGGAACAGTCACACCTTCTCGCGCTGCGAGATTTTTTCTTCCTGTCCATGCGAACATGCGGGGAGCGGCAGAGGCGATCAGAAACGCAGACGCATCTCCTTCGAGGACAGCTGCGCGCACGAGCGGTAGGAGAGGAACAAAGCGCAGTCGACGCACAGACGACGATGCGCACAATACCGGTCTCGCCCTCTCATCCACATCCATGTCCTGGCGCTGTCCACCGCTTGACACGCTGTCGGACAGCGACTCTAGCTCGGATCGCGATGATGATCCATTCTGCAGCTCTCCCTTGAGGAAAGTGCCGCGACAAGACCCTTTTCGTGTAGCCTCCCCGAATGCCAGCATTCAACTACCCTGCGCGCTTAGAGCACTCTCCATACAGAGAGATGTAGGCTCGGCATGGACGATCATGAGATCGGGAATGCCTAGATGCGCCATTTTTGCAGCCGGTCGACGCGTCGGTGAGTGTACGAGGGTGGCATAGCGCTGGTCTGCCTTCTCGTCTGATCCCACGGTCCCACGGTCCCACGCAGTCCCACGCACCTCTTATCTCGACTCCTTTGCGCCCAAGGGTCACTTTTGCCTCGACCCCATCATCGAGGATGCAGGTCCCGAACTTCCGCTCTGCGGCTCCTTCAGCTACTCGGCTCGCTTCCCGTCAGGCAATGAGTCTCGCTGGCTGGCCTCTGGCACCAACAGCGGCAATCTGGTGCTCGTCGATTGTGCCGACACCAGCGGGCAGCGCCAGTTGGCGTGGAACGCGCATCGCGGATCCACCTTCGATTTGGCCTGGCGAGACGATGATAGGCGTATCTTGAGCGGAGGTAGCGACTACTTTGTCAAGATTTGGGATGCCGAGACCGGAGTGAGCAGAGTGGGGAAATGGCGCCGGCAAATTCGTCCACTGACACGACTTTCTCGCAGCTTTGCACCGGTACCTTTGCAGGACACTCTGGATCTCCGCGCAGCGTAGCGTGGGACCCGACGTCCGCTTCAGGATCGCTGTTCTCTAGCGCCGGCAGGGACGGGAGTGTCCTCGTCTACGACGATCGGGTGCAAAATCATGGCAGCGCAGATGCAAGCCAACCAGTGCTGCGCATCGACTGCGCTCATCCGAGCGCCGTCTCGATGCGCGGCAAACGAGCAGCAAGAGGGACTAGCACAGCTGCCAAAGGAGTCATGAGCTTGGTCTATCTACCCACACGAGGTCAGCACGCCATCGCGTCGGCGGGATGCGCAGATGGTGTCGTCAAGATGTGGGATTTGCGTCACGTCGGAGAGGAATGCGCTGCAGTCGACTTCGACGCTTCGAGCAGAGGAGCACTTGCGGACGTCACGAATGTGGCAAAGAGCAGCGGCGCGCGCGGCAAGAAGCGCAGCAGAGCCGCTGAGCGAAAGGATGGCGAGATGAGGCCATGCGCTAGCAGTGCCGACGTATCTGCTCGTCAGCACGGTTGCGTCAAGAGGTGAGATTGGCCCATGTGCAATCACGTCTCTGTGGCTTCTGCTGACGTGCGGTTCCTTTCGATTCAGTTCGCATGGCATCTCGTCCCTTGTAGCTAGCGATACGGACCTATTTGCAGCCAGCACAGATGGACAGTGAGTGGCGCTCAGACGCTCGCAGACGCTTGCCATTCTGACCCGACTCGTCTCTGTTTGCCAGCATTCATGCTCTCTCCATTGCCGGTCTAGCGAGTTCCGCGATCTCGACCATGGGCATCACCTCCTTCGCGCATCCATCGCACAAGGGCAACACGCTCTACGCCCGTCTGGCGTTGGCGCCGGATCAACAAACGCTAGCCCTAGGCTGCAGGAATGGCGATGCGACGTTCTGGCACATCAAGGCTGCCATGGCTCAGCCTAACGCTCGACCTGCCGTCCTGAGATCGCCCTTATCGAATGCGGAAATCAACGCTGTAGCCTTCATGAGCGATAGCGAGCACGGAACAAGTCTCGCGACGCTTGCCGACGACTTTATCGTCCGGCTCTGGGCTCCCTCTACTTGACGTGCCCTGGCGTGTGGCGAGAGGCGCAGGAGAGAGCTCTCGATGCGTTCTTGTCGACGGCCTGCTCGACCAGATCTCATTCGTACTCCTGCATGGGGTCAACATTTGTACAAGCATATCCCCATCAACCCCCGCACTTGCGATGCAACCCATTCATACTGTGAAGAGGCCCACGCGTGCTCATCCGGGATCCTCTCTCTGACGCAACGCATGCCTCGTGAGGGGTGTCCGATACGATTGCGTCTTCCATAGGATTGCGAGTAGGCGAAACGTTTTTGGGCGCTACATGCACTTGTACTTGTAGCGCTGCGCTGAGTATACGCCCGGCTACGAATGGGCGAGGATGGCTGAGGAGGTAGGAGCACGCACGCAGAAGACTGGATCGCTATCACTGTCACTGTCACTGTCACTGTCACTGTCACTGTCACTGTCACTGTCACTGTCACTCGCACTGTCACTGTCACTGTCACTCGCACTGTCACTGTCACTGTCACTGTCGCTGTCACTGGCTCATGTTGACGATCGAATCGGGATGTTCTAGCGTCCCTTTGTCAAGGACCAGACTACTGCACAAGGCAATTCCGACTTCTCAGAAGAAAGAATAGAAATGACGGATGATGCGCGCGCTGCTGAGATTCCTGCGAGTCGAGTTCCTGCAATGGGCGCGTCGATTGAATCGCGAATTCGATAGGCTGCATCACGCGGAGACAATGATGCTGTTCGATTCATGTTTTGCTTTAGATCTTGATGCGAATGCCGAATGAGGATGTCAGGTCAGGACTGATCGAAGGGGAATTAAGGGGGGGGGTGAACATTCTGGATCGGAGCGGGCGCAGAGAACCTTGTGCTGGAGCGTCGACTTCAATGCTGGACTGCACAGAATTGGTCAAGGCTGATGGTCTGCTTTTGAAGTTCCAAGCAGTCGAACAACAGGTACTGCTCGATGGCCAAGGGAAAAGTAGTGTTGAACCAATCATGTTGCGCACTTCCGCTTGATTGGCTTGCTCGCAGTGCTCGATGGCGGTGCAGGGGAGAAGAGAGAGAGAAACGGGTTGGTCCATTTATTGAGAGAACAAATCATTTGGGCTCCAACCGAGCATGATCTTCCATCGTTCTACATGGTGGAGGCTCTTTTGCGCGAGGACTCAGCTTGCCTGTGTAGCCTCTCCACTACATCCAGGTCTCTTTGTGTGTGCCAACAGCGACCTTAAGCAGAGTCCTGTTCGCGCCCTTCCACATGATGAGGCTGTCGAAAGTACTTTGTCAGGTTAAAGTCTTCAGCTGCAGCGCCAAGCAGGCGCAGTCCTGGGTGGTTCTGCCAGTGATAGCCAACCGTATACAGCTCATGGTACCACGGCTCATGGGAGCTGTATTTGCGCGTTTTTGGCCTGTCTTCAGCAGGAGCAGGTGGGTGGCAACGCACAAAGACCTCTTCTTGACCAGCAACACTTGTGCCAAGGTTGAGCACAATGGAAATGGGAGCCTTAGCACCCTGATAAGCCCATGGCTGACTGATTGGGTGGCAAGACTTGACAGGATCCTTCCTTGACTTGACTTGCACAATGATGAATGTGAAGTTCTGCTTCAAGGGTGTTCTCAAGTCTCCGCAGTACACAGGAATGAGCAGGTCCCAATCTGCTTGTCCTGTGGCACCTATGATGGCAGTCATCCTGGTCCAAGCTACCTTGAGCTCAAATGGAAAGATTTCTTGCCATCTTCTTTGGGCTCTTGAGAAGCGGGTGAAGTTCACCCAACAGTCTTCCATGTCTGCAAGCAAGTTGTTGAACACCCTTGTACTCCCTGCACTCATGTTGATGGTACTCAAGAGGGAGCAGAGGAAACTGCTGGCCTGGACAAATTGGGTGACGGGGCTGCAGGCATCTGGCTGCTCATGCACAGACAGACCAAATCTGGCAGGATTTGGTCGAGAGGCTGCATCTTTGCAAATGCAGATTAGCCCTTGTGCAGTGACCTCGCCATAGGCACCTTGGTCGATGATGGCCCTTGTGGCGATGAGAGAGTGGAGATGTGTCCAACATGTTTTCCATACCGCTGCTTGAGCTGTCAGATCCCTCGACATGGCAATGGCCACGATGGCAGAGACCAGTGGCTCGCACATTGTGTATGTCTTGATGGCGTTTCCTGCAGCGTTCATATCATCAAGGATCCTAAGATGCTCGTTGATCTGAGTCTTTTGGAACTCAATTGCACTCCCAGGCAGCCTGGAGTCCGTCTGTGCAATACTCGCACCATCGTCAAGCTCCATCCTCTGACTGAGTAGCGCAAAGCATTGGGCTTCGGTGAGGTTTGCTGGTTGGAGGTCCACGCCTGAATCGACGGTCTTGAGAACTTTGTTGAGCACAAAGCTGTTCACGGCATCTCCCAAATTTTCGATATCAGGTTCCCCATTCAAAGGATCCTGTTCGTCGTAGCTGATCATGGCGTGCCAAAGCGGTCGACCAAAAAATGCCAATACGTGGACTTGACATGCTTTGATGGGTGGCGCACTTTCGATTGCGTCGAGGAGCTCAGAGTTTGCGTCTAGATGGACGTTTCGAGCAGCCATGGTGAAGGGATGATGATGGCGCAGGTATCCTTTGTTGACGCGGCTCGACACCGCGGCTGCCACAGCGGGGCTTAGTGCCTGAAAACAAGCATTGGTACCGAGGAGCAGCAGCCAAAATCGAGGAGGCAATTGGGTGCTCTTGGCTGCTGGGCAAAAGATGGAGCGCAGGTCCTCGATCCACAAGAAGGACCTCTCACGCTTGAGTACTGCGGGCTCAAGCGTAGCAACCTCGTCCAAAGCGATGTTGAACCAGATATCGTCTGAGCCGAAGCGATCCAGCGCTGCACGTAGATGAAAAGCAGATTCCCTCACTTGCTTGAGCAAAGCGCGAACGCGGCTCTTCACTGACCCCAGATTAAGATTCGCGGTCATTGAAGCCCATGAAGTTGATGCCTGATCGAGAATGTCAGTATAGAGCTGGCAATTGTGATGGGCGTCGTGACGCATGCCCTCAAAGGTGTCACTGCTCGGCGCAGTGTGAGATCTCCAAAGTGCTTGGAGGGCTTGAATCGTAGAGACCTGTGCCCTGGCGATGAGACGAGCGCTTTGCTCGTATTGAGTGCACGGTCCCCTTTCCTGCATGAGGCATCTGAACGGTCAGAATAGCGCACAGGCCTCCTCTCTATGCATGTATATAAGTCTCTTCCAGTTCCTTCAGTCAAGCCCCCCACTCGCTATGAATTTGATCTCTTCTCACAACAGATTAAGAGTCTGTAGCTCAGACCCTGACCCCGCTCAACACCGTACCCAAAGCTCAGCAAACAACAATGTCACTCAACGAGGTTTCATTCAGCAAGGTGCCCGTCCTCAAGGGATCGGCAGATTTCTTTAGCTGGCAGAATAGGCTTGAGGCAGTCTTACGCTCGGAGAAAGTGTGGTACACGGTTGAGGGGACCGTGCGC